CTATAATACCCCCTCAGTGTAGACTAATGGAAATGATATCTATAATACCCCCTCAGTGTAGACTGATGGAAATTATATCTATAATACCCTCTCAGTGTAGACTGATGGAAATGATATCTATAATACCCCCTCAGTGTAGACTGATGGAAATGATATCTATAATACCCCCTCAGTGTAGACTAATGGAAATGATATCTATAATACCCCCTCAGTGTAGACTAATGGAAATGATATCTATAATACCCTCTCAGTGTAGACTGATGGAAATTATATCTATAATACCCCCTCAGTGTAGACTAATGGAAATGATATCTATAATACCCTCTCAGTGTAGACTGATGGAAATTATATCTATAATACCCCCTCAGTGTAGACTGATGGAAATTATATTTATAATACCCTCTCAGTGTAGACTGATGGAAATTATATCTATAATACCCCCTCAGTGTAGACTGATGGAAATTATATCTATAATACCCCCTCAGTGTAGACTAATGGAAATGATATCTATAATACCCCCTCAGTGTAAACTAATAGAAATGATATCTATAATACCCTCTCAGTGTAGACTGATGGAAATTATATCTATAATACCCCCTCAGTGTAGACTGATGGAAATGATATCTATAATACCCCCTCAGTGTAGACTAATGGAAATGATATCTATAATACCCCCTCAATTTAGACTGATGGAAATGATATCTATAATACCCCCTCAGTCTAGACTGATGGAAATGATATCTATAATACCCCCTCAGTGTAGACTAATGGAAATGATATCTATAATACCCTCTCAGTGTAGACTGATGGAAATTATATCTATAATACCCCCTCAGTGTAGACTAATGGAAATGATATCTATAATACCCCCTCAGTGTAGACTAATGGAAATGATATCTATAATACCCTCTCAGTGTAGACTGATGGAAATTATATCTATAATACCCCCTCAGTGTAGACTGGTGGAAATGATAGCTATAATACCCTCTCAGTGTAGACTGGTGGAAATGATAGCTATAATACCCCCTCAGTGTAGACTGATGGAAATGATATCTATAATACCCTCTCAGTGTAGACTGATGGAAATTATATCTATAATACCCCCTCAGTGTAGACTGATGGAAATTATATCTATAATACCCCCTCAGTGTAGACTAATGGAAATGATATCTATAATACCCCCTCAGTGTAGACTAATGGAAATGATATCTATAATACCCCCTCAGTGTAGACTGATGGAAATTATATCTATAATACCCCCTCAGTGTAGACTGATGGAAATGATAGCTATAATACCCCCTCAGTGTAGACTGATGGAAATTATATCTATAATACCCCCTCAGTGTAGACTGATGGAAATGATATCTATAATACCCCCTCAGTGTAGACTAATGGAAATGATATCTATAATACCCCCTCAATTTAGACTGATGGGAATTATATCTAAATAGCCCCTCAGTGTAGACTGATGGAAATTATATCTATAATACCCCCTCAGTGTAGACTGATGGAAATGATATCTATAATACCCCCTCAGTGTAGACTGATGGAAATGATAGCTATAATACCCTCTCAGTGTAGACTGGTGGACATTATATCTATAATACCCCCTCAGTGTAGACTGGTGGAAATGATAGCTATAATACCCCCTCAGTGTAGACTGGTGGAAATGATAGCTATAATACCCTCTCAGTGTAGAGTGGTGGACATTATATCTATAATACCCCCTCAGTATAGACTGGTGGAAATGATAGCTATAATACCCTCTCAGTGTAGACTGGTGGAAATGATAGCTATAATACCCTCTCAGTGTAGACTGGTGGAAATTATATCTATAGTATCCCCTCAATTTAGACTGATGGAAATGATATCTATAATACCCCCTCAGTGTAGACTGGTGGAAATGATAGCTATAATACCCTCTCAGTGTAGACTGGTGGAAATTATATCTATAATACCCCCTCAGTGTAGACTGATGGAAATTATATCTAAAATACCCCCTCAGTGTGGACCAATGTGACATGTTTCGAGTTGCTTTCATCGATATTTGTTTGAACTGACTACATCACATGATTCGAAGGGATAGGTGTCACAAACTGCCAGCTGACACAAGCAATGACAAATCTGCAAGCAGAGACAATACATTAAATTAAACTGATGATATACTCACTGTCTGCATACTGGTTTATTTGTCCGCATCGTCTTGCCTCGGGCAATATCACAGTCAACATACTGGTTTATTTGTCCGCATCGTCTTGCCTCGGGCAATATCACAGTCAACATACTGGTTTATTGGTCCGCATCGTCTTGCCTAGGGCAATATCACAGTCAACATACTAGTTTATTGGTCCGCATCGTCTTGCCTAGGGCAATATCACAGTCAGCATACTGGTTTATTGGTGCGCATCGTCTTGCCTAGGGCAAGATCACAGTCAACATACTAGTTTATTGGTCCGCATCTTGTTGCCTAGGGCAATATAACAGTCAACATACTGGTTTATTTGTCCGCATCGTCTTGCCTAGGGCAATATAACAGTCAACATACTGGTTTATTGTCCGCATCGTCTTGCCTAGGGCAATATCACAATCAGCATACTGG